TAATACAAATCCAAACCAAATTCATAACACACACATATCACACAACACACACACACAAGAACGGAACAGAGAAGAAAAAGATAAAGGAAAAAGAGGGGAAAAAAAAAGAAGAAGAAGAAGAAAAAAAAGGGAAAATTTGTCAATGTGTTAGGAATTAAGTGCTCGATCCTATTAGGCTTGAATTTCTCAATTTTAAAAGGTAAGTAAAATGTTACTTATTATTAAGTTATGTTTGATTTTGTAGTTGTTAGATTGTTAGGTTAAATTTAATTTTATTGAAGGGGTTAAGTGTAATAAACTATGAAATTGAATAAAATGAAAGAAAAATTAATTTTAGTAATTAAAGAGACGTTAAAAATCGCCTAAACGTGAAATAATTATGTTTGGATATCGCTTATTTAATTATTGAAATTACTTAAATTAGTTAATTTTGAAATTACTTAAATTAGTTAATTGTTGATTTAAAAATTATATTATATTTCAGGCGGCGATACGAATATCGGGACAGCGTACCAATCGAATTGATTTTGGCGTACATAGTTCTTTGAATGGAAAAATATAAATATTTTTAAAGTATTTATAAATTAAGTTTATTGTTAAAGTATGTGCAATTAGATGCAATTTTGTGTTCGAATTACATGGTTTTTATGGAAATACCTTTTATTATGATACATGTGGGATTTCAAAGATTGTATACGTTACATTGTGAATTGGAATATGAGATATGATTTTGAGATCGACCAGAAAAGTACCCATGATTATATATTTCTTCTAGTTCATTGAGGGGCCTTGACTGTGTTCTATACTACACTGAGGGGTCATGGATCGGGGATGAAGGGGTCTCAATCGTGTACATATAGTTCATTGAGAGGCATTGACCGTGTTCTAGAATTGATTTTGAGAGGTCTTTGAGACCGACTTTCATTCACGGAGGGGTCAAAGGCCCGTGGCGAAAGTTCTTAGCTCGAGGGGTGGATTACATATTTCAGTCAGAGGGTACATTATTTGTGAATTTTTCAGCACGTTTGATGTTATGAGATTATAGCATGATTATCAGCTGATTTTATATCCTGATTTTAAGATGATATTCTTATGACCTTATGTGAATATTTCACTTTTTGGCTATAATTATATGATTAAAACTTGTGAATTATCAAATGGTATGAATTTAATTTTCAATAAAAATGTATAAATGAAAAAATATATTTATTTTGAACTTCTTCACTCACTGAGCTATCAACTCATAGATTTTTTCACGTTTTTCCTTATTAGGCAGCAGTTGAGAATCTGAGCATCTTTTGGAGTTGAGCCTTGATTTTGGAGTCAGAGCCACACGACAGAGTTTGTTTGTATGACTTACTTCATAGAACATGTAGTCAGTGTTTTGGGACGCATGTTCATGTCTAAACATAATTTTGCATCATCTTGTAAATAGTTATGGGGCTCACTAAGTATTATGTATACATATGTATATTTTATTGTATTTCTTGGTAAAAGTGGAGAATTCGGCTTATCATTATTGTGCTGTGCTATAGTTTGGGATTTGTGTGAAATTGATCACAGGTTGGTTAGCCCTGTTTACAAGGGAGATAATGCCAAAATTTTATTAGAAAAATGATGTAGAAAAAGTGATATATTGTATTTGTAGTAGCATTGATGGTGGGTTCGACTTTTAGTTAGTATCTATCATCAGCGCATGCCACGTCAGAATCTAGTGATGTTACACGGGGCGGGGTGTGTCAAAAAACGAACCATGTAAATACTTGACTGCAGCATCCTGGTAAGGTAACTTCTTTGTGTGAATATGCTCAAGCTACACCAAGAAGTACTGTAAGTGTTATGCCCTAGGTCTAATTGACTTTGAACATAAACACTTTTAATATATAGTTGATGGGATTTATGACAAATCTATTAGTTTAATTAATTAATATTCAGTTGAATTAAATAATGGAGTCTATAGATTCAAATCTTAATAATTTGTTAATCACAAGGAGTTATCATTGTGAGATGCAATTTACATATGATTGAATCTTAAATCATCCGTGGTCGTAAATAATTATGAGATACGGATATCGTTATTATGGATAGACCATCACGTGTGACATTTCTTACTTGTGAAGTAAGTAGCCAATCTCACAAGTTAAAGTGTGTTAACACTTGAATGAACATGTGTATGTTTTGTTATAGAATAAAACATTGGAGACCCGTCAAGAAATTTCACGTGAATAACTATTTGAGTGTCAGTGGTTAATCTCTAGCGTTCGGTAGTGAAATTAGTCTTTTGACTCGAGATCATCATGGTGCCTTATATGAAGACAATCATACTTTGACGGTATTGGATGTTGCTCTGTCAAGGGCCGCTAATACAGTATCGTTTGGGTATATGAAGAATAGTATGAAAGTTGTAAATAGCTAATAGAGAATTCGTCACTTTTAAATAGTAAGATATTATGATCCATATTTTCGTTGCGCGTGATAAGTAGACTCCCAACAGGTGCTCTATGGCATGTTTGTTAGGTGAATTGGACAATACCAATCTTTTCCATTTTTGTGTACTAAACACACATTTAATGTTGAAAATTAGATGTTCTATGCATAACAAATTTAGGGTTGGCTACACGAATTCTTCTTCCCCACACCTTTCATTTCATTGCTAGCTAGATCTACCAGAAGATTTAAAACAATTAGATCATTAACAACTCCAACATATCAAGTTAGTTTTGGTCTACAATTCTCTCAATGGTGCTTTCGAGATTTTGTCACTCTTAAAAATGAGAACCTCTCTAATCAACTCGATAATGTTGATAATAATGTAGGAAAATCTGAATACGTTAATGAACTCCAAGGCACGAAATGAAACGTTATCTTTTAAGAGATGTTTCTCTCCTATTCAACAAAGTCACAACGGGGTATAATAGAAAATCTCTCTCAGGATACAATGGAGGTGTTTGATTCAAACTGTGACTATTTGATCAAACCAAGAAAACACTCGAATATAACTGATTGATGCCAAGAGAAAGAAGGAAAAATAAATTGTTTAATGTATTTGCAAATGAGAATTCGCCCAGGTCGAACCCCATTGCGCAGCGGCAAACATTAATCCGGACGGCAAATCATTCGCAAAATGATGAAAAATATCTAATAGATAATACTTGAAAAATAAGGGTTCCAAAGCAATTAGAGATGAAATGAACCTACAAGTAGCAATGTTTTTAGGTATCTGGTTGTCACTTTCGTCATCCCAGCTCTATAAGAAACTGACCATTCACCTGTCTCAAGGGGCTACCCCATGTGGCCT